AATGGATAAGCTTTTTGTTTCTGGGAAGGGTGGGTGCTAACAAATGATGAATATTTCAAAAAACTTAGTTTTCTAATTGACGTTATTTGGTGATTCTTACTCTGTTCAAAAAATTAAACAGCGAGTGGAAATCACGAATTTCAAAGCAGGAATCAAATGAATCCAAACCTGCAGGCGATAAAAATTGTTTGCAATATGAAATTTCTGCAAGAAACCTTAGTTTTAAGGTGGCTCTGAACCCTACACATATTTTTTTACAACTTTGGCAAACGTTGCGTCTTATTATGCTCATTAAGTTTTGATAAAATGCAGTAAAAAAAAATTCGTCGTGCCGTTTTTGAATCATAAGATTCTAAAGCTGTAATTAAGGGTGTTGCTATGGTAACCTATTGTGTCACAAAAATGATAACAACGGGTACATCAATGATTATAGGCAGTTTTTTGACACCATCACTGTAGTATCACGTGATAAAGACTGGTTATAACGACCCATCAAAATCTAACTGCTCGGCGAAGTGTTTTGAGTCACCTTATGGGGCTTGATACTAGCTGACAGCAAGCTGCGTAGATTTTGATTTTGACTTACATAAGCTTGATTTCGAATAACGTAGACGATATTTTCGATTGAAAAGACGTTGACGTTTTAGCCTGCGAGCAGGCTTTTCGCGTGACAACTGAAAGAAGTAGAGGAAAGAAGAAGTAGAGCCTGCGCTGCGCGCGTTATTAATCTTTGTGCATTTCTTAGCCAACTTTTGCAAAACCGAGGAAGTACACCGCGGGGGCAGAACTAAAAACGCTTTCTTTACAAAGTTAGCTGTAGCTAGTATTTATCGACAGACAAGTGGCAAGATTCTAAAGTAAAATAATGCATTTTCGAACACGCGTCGCTGTCATCTTTGCCTGAGATGTCCAACTCGCTGTGATCGCGGCCAAAAGAACTTAAGCTGAATGGAAAATTGTGAACTTATATAATTTCCGAAAAAGAGGACAACCTCCTGATGTATAGAGAGTGTGCATTGTCACGCAATAAGAAAAGAAAATCAAGAAATTGTGATATCATAGACGATAAATAAAGAAAACAGTGCTCCCAGTTTAGGGTGTGTGCGTTGTGCCAAAGTTGAGATATTCGCCGACATGTTCCGCGCAAAATTATAGAGCCTAGTATGGAGCCGCCATGTTAGAGGACCTCCTTAGTCCTCCAATATGGCGGCCTGAAAATAGTGTAAACATCTGGAAGTTACTTTGGCTATCTAGACAACTAATTATCTGAACCGAACCAAAAAACATTTACACAAGCACTTTTCCTA